GCAGACACTAAAAATAAAAACAGCTGCTATCTGCTCCCTGGTAAAACACAATAAATGAATTTTGACGACTACATAAACTCAGATCATCAGAAACCTTAGCAGACTGGGGGGCAGGAGATTTCTAAGCTACTTAGCTCTGAGAAAAACAAAAAGAGGCAAGTGATCTCTTTGCACGCAGTTCATAAAAAAGTGTGACACGGGTTACCAGATCGAAACTTCAAACTAGTTCGGGAAAATTAAAAGAAAGAATGTTGAGATATATAAAAAAATAAGTTAATACATATTGTTTTTCTGTGCCAGTGTGTTCAAAATAGAGATACTCTAATATAACGATTGCCTTGCGAAATGACGAGAGACACACATGCACAAAGAGTACCCAACAAACGAAGGTTAAATCTCAGAGTTAAAATATGTGGTTTTGTTTCTGGCTAATTCCCAGAATTTTCGTTAAGTATTTACACATACAAAGCAGGTGGTATTGTAAATAGATCGTTTACGGTTTTTATGCCATCAGTCTGATTAAAAATATGAAAAGCAGACATGAGAATATATATTTTTTTTTATGTCGTTAACAATTTTTGTAAAGGTTTCTTAGAAATTGCCCTTCTTCACTTCTCTTTATACACATGTAAAATAGCAAGAGGAAGATAGATAGATTGATAGATAGATAGATAGATAGATAGATAGATAGATAGATAGATAGATAGATAGATAGATAGATAGATAGATAGATAGATAGATAGATAGATAGATAGATAGATAGATAGAGTCAAACCTGTGTAAGACGGCCACCCATTGTCAAGGAGAAAAGTGGCCGTATAAGACAGATGGCCGTCTTAGGCAGGACTGATCATGATGAAGAAAACAAACCATTCCCATCTGAGGTCCCAATCGAAAGTAGCCCCATTATGTTGTCTTTGTCCGTGTTGTTGGTTTGTATTTCGTTTGTAATTTTTATTTTGTCGCTGATTTTGCACAAGAGTGACAATAAAACGGAATGCATCAGACAAGGAAGACCGAGTGCCATGTTAAAACAAGCACATGGGTCGCCACCACTCGGAGAACGAGCGACGCTTCTGTCACAAGTTCATGTTGACGTCCTTCGTTACTTTGTTACAGACTGGGTAAACAGTAACCACTCATCTCACTTACGATTTGTGTATGGGTTCTGGGCGGGGCTTATGGGTTATGAGGGATCAAACGCTTACCTCACCAGCAGCTGAAAATTGGTAGCTATTGGTCAACAGTGGGAGGGGCCTACGCAACATGATCGGTTGGAGGGACTACCTAACAACAACGACAGGTGATTGAATTATGACGGCTCGCCCACAACACCAGGGGCCAATGCACAATTTATGAGAAAACGTAATGGAGTCACTAAGGTGGCCGTCTAAGACAGGGGTTATTGCTTTGTGTGATAGGAGTTGTGTGTTAAATGTGAGGTATCGTGGTGGAATCAGGCTCTCCTCAATTTTTGGGCACATCGAGTTATTGGTATCATCTTAAAGCTTGTTCACTGTCTTTATTTGGATGAAAAAAATATCCGTTTATCTTAAATACAAGTCGAGATATTTGGGAATGAAGGAGGTGGGGGTCACCTGTTTTCAGAGGTAAAATTAGTGAGAAAATGGCCGCCAAAGATTAGTTATTTCCTTAGCTTAAGAGTCCGTGGTAACTGAAAAGTTACATCTTTTGTGCCTTTAATCAACGTTTTCCAGAACAATCCACACAGAAATGAGTTCTTTAATGGGCATGAAAGGTGTTGAGACAAAAAACAACAATTTGATTAAAATTCACAAACCTGCAGAAAAATGCAACTTTCTTCACTTTGATTATTTTGACGAGAGCCTCTCACATTATGGTGGCCTCGTTGGACAGGTGCCCGTTTTACCCAGTTAAATTATATAGAAAAAACCAAGGGGGGAAATGGAAAGTGGCCGTTTGTACAGGTGGCCGTCTTATAGAGGTGGCCGTCAGGGCAGGTTTGACTGTATATATAATAATAATAAAATAATAATAGATAGCATTTGTATAGCGCATATCCCCGCTCAACAGCAGGCTCTATGCGCTTTACACTATATTATTACCCCAGCAGACCATAGAACACTCCGAAACATTTTCAGCTTCCCGGGAAGCATACAGTGCAAGCAGCCGATTAAGCGCTCAAACACTAACAAACTGACAAGATCTTTCGCTGTCTATAGCCGGGTACCCATTCCCACCTGGGTGAAGTGAGGAAAATTCGGTTAAAGTGCCTTTCCCAAGGACACAACGTCGGGTCCCTGACGGGATTCGAACCCACGACCTTACGGTTGCGAGTCCGAGAGCCTAACCACTAGGCCACCGACGCCACAATATATATATATATATATTCGTCCCTTTGGTCGCCTAACTTCTGAACCACTTATTTTTCGAATTTGAAAAAAAAATAGTGATGGTTCAGAATCTTTTAAAGGGTGCACGGTTATATTAGGGAGTCTGAAGTCACTGTAGTTTAATTTACAGTTTTTAATTATTTCGTTTAGATCTAATCTTGGGTGGAAACATATGGGAAGACAGAGAACACAGTATGTCCAATTGTGGAACCTTTTAATCAATCTTGCAGCATCTTTTCAAAACAAAACTCACAGTACTGACTGAGTGAAGATCAGACGTGTCATTAAAGAGTAGTACACGAAGAGGAGAAGAAGGAGGAGGAGGAGAGAGAGAGAGAGAGAGAGAGAGAGAGAGAGAGAGAGAGAGAGAGAGAGAAGGACGACGCATTAAATGTGTGACAGGAGAGGAAGCACGAAACAAAACCGGATCAGGCGCCAAGCACCCAGGTTCAAATCTCTCTCGAGTGAATTAACCGATTTTGGTGGAGCATTCTTTGCAGGAGTAGCAAAAGTCACAGTAGCACTGGTAGGACCAGGTGTAGTTCCCGTTGTCCAGGAACTGGAAGCTGTCCAACCTCCTGTAGTAGGAGTTCCAGTAGATGTTGGGCAGTCCCTGGTACGTGATTTGTTGGCAGTCAAAGGCGTTGATGATCTGCAGGTATCTCGTCACCTCTGGGTTCACGTATACCTGGTGGGTGACAGTGACAGTGACAGTGACAGTGACAGTGACAGTGACAGTGACAGTGACAGTGACAGTAAAAGTGACAGTGACAGTGACAGTGACAGTAACAGTAAAAGTGACAGAGACAGTGACAGTGACAGTGACAGTGACAGTGACAGTAAAAGTGACAGTGACAGTGACAGTGACAGTGACAGTAACAGTAAAAGTGACAGTGACAGTGACAATTACAATGACAATGACAGTGGCAATGATAATGACAACGAAAACAACAACAACAATGACTACGACAGCTATAACGCAGCATTACAAAACATGATAAATGAGATAACAAAGTGAACGCTTTCTTGCTACGGCGTGTTTCCTTCTTAGATAGCATGTTTTTGTTTATGCTACGGCGTGTTTCCTTCTTAGAAAGCATGTTTTTGATGATGCTACGGGGTGTTTCCTTCTTAGAAAGCATGTTCTTCATGATGCTACGGGGTGTTTCCTTCTTAGAAAGCATGTTTTTGATGATGCTACGGGGTGTTTCCTTCTTAGAAAGCATGTTCTTCATGATGCTACGGGGTGTTTCCTTCTTAGAAAGCATGTTCTTCATGATGCTACGGGGTGTTTCCTTCTTAGAAAGCATGTTTTTGATGATGCTACGGGGTGTTTCCTTCTTAGATAGAAAGCATGTTTTTGATGATGCTACGGCGTGTTTCCTTCTTAGAAAGCATGTTCTTCATGATGCTACGGGGTGTTTCCTTCTTAGAAAGCATGTTTTTGATGATGCTACGGCGTGTTTCCTTCTTAGAAAGCATGTTTTTGATGATGCTACGGGGTGTTTCCTTCTTAGAAAGCATGTTCTTCATGATGCTACGGGGTGTTTCCTTCTTAGAAAGCATGTTCTTCATGATGCTACGGGGTGTTTCCTTCTTAGAAAGCATGTTTTTGATGATGTTACGGGGTGTTTCCTTCTTAGATAGAAAGCATGTTTTTGATGATGCTACGGCGTGTTTCCTTCTTAGAAAGCATGTTTTTGATGATGCTACGGCGTGTTTCCTTCTTAGAAAGCATGTTTTTGATGATGCTACGGGGCGTTTCCTTCTTAGAAAGCATGTTCTTCATGATGCTACGGGGTGTTTCCTTCTTAGAAAGCATGTTTTTGATGATGCTACGGCGTGTTTTCTTCTTAGAAAGCATGTTTTTGATGATGCTACGGCGTGTTCTTTCTCAGAAAGCATGTTCTTCATGATGCTACGGCGTGTTCTTTCTTAGAAAGTATGTTCTTGATAATGCTACGGCGTGTTCTTTGATAGATAGTATGTTCTTGATGATGATAGGGCGTGTTTTTTTTATAGATAGTATGTTCTTGGTGATGATAGGGCGTGTTTTTTTATAGATTGTATGTTCTTGGTGATGATAGGGCGTGTTTTTTTTATAGATCGTATGTTCTTGGTGATGATAGGGCGTGTTTTTTTATAGATCGTATGTTCTTGGTGATGATAGGGCGTGTTTTTTTATAGATCGTATGTTCTTGGTGATAATAGGGCGTGTTTTTTTTTATAGATCGTATGTTCTTGGTGATGATAGGGCGTGTTTTTTTATAGATCGTATGTTCTTGGTGATGATAGGGCGTGTTTTTTTATAGATCGTATGTTCTTGACGTTGCTTGGGCGTGTCAATGACGTCAAACAAGATGGTTGTCACTATAAATATCGGCCAATAGCGTTTAGTTTTCCTTCTCTAAGTATCCGCTAATGATTGTCACTGCCATTGTCATATACTCACGTAAGGCAGCCTTACATCCATGATGGTAGCTGGTGCGTAGACGGCTTGACCAGTGGTGGCCCCCCCACCAGGCCTCAGGACTCGTTTGGCGATGTCCCGGAGGGTGGTGCAGGAGGGGGGTACATCGCCCGCCTTGGCCACAGGGTTTGAGTAGCTGGTGAACATATGGTGAGATGGTGAGATGGTGAGATGGTGAGATGGTGAGATGGTGAGATGGTGAGATGGTGAAATGGTGACATGGTGAAATGTGGAGATGGTGAGATGGGGAAATGGTGACATGGTGAATTGGGGAAATGTGGAAATGGTGCAAATGGTGCATGACGTGGTGAGATGGTGAAATGGTATAGGCTTAACACCCTTATCAACACTGCTAGGTTATTTAAGAGGTGGGACCTCCAAGTTCAGGAAACGAAGGAAATGAAGAAAGGAAAGAACGAAAGGAAGGAAAGTAAGGAAATGAAAGAATTGAAGGAAGGAAAGAAGGAAAGAAGGAAGAAAAGAAATGAAAGAATTGAAGGAAGGAAAGAAGGAGAGAAGAAAAGAAAGGAAATGAAAGAATTGAAGGACGGAAAGAAGGAAAGGAAGGACGTTTATGGGGTTTTTTTTGGTTTTTTGTAAGTGTTTTACGGCGCTACCAACTGCTTGGTGTCATATGAGCGCGCAGGACACTAGAATCATTTACAGTTGGTAGAAAATTTTGAATTTTGCCCAGGTGGCGGCCGAAGCCTACAGTTATCAATTTTAGACCACCAAGGGATCATTTTGTTTGTGTGGTGAAGGTACCTTTGACCCCCTCCCCCCTCCCCCCTCGACGTTTCTTTCTGAAATGGGAAAATGGTGTAGATTTATCGCCACTGTCAACACTGTTAGGTTATTTATTAAGAGGCGGGACCTCCAAGTTTAACGTCCGTCTCCGAAAGGACCGAGCCAAGTGAGAAATTCGTGAAAAGTGCCTTTCCCAAGGACACAACGTCGGACCGAGCTGAGGCTCGAATCCCCGAACCCGCAGTCTCACGATTACGAGTCCTGTAGCCTAACCACTAGACCACCGACAACCTCACAATAACGAGCCCGGTTGCCTAACCACTAGACCACCGACACCACCAAAACTTGTTTTAGTAATGAACAACACCACACCTCACCATCTTGGTATCTTCTGTTCCTCATCGTATGAGTGTCGTTCTAGTTTTATGACTCGGAGACTTGAACTCACTGACCCAGTGGTAAGCTACAGATAGGGGGCTCTCATGGTCTAGAGGTTAAGGTGTTGGCCTCTCATTCAAAGGTCCCGGGTTCGAATCTGGATGGCGACGGAAACATTTTCTTCTCTTAAATTTTCTCCTTTCTCATCCTTTCCTGTTCTCTAGCAATGTCCTGTCGTCTGCTTTCGTCTCCTCTTTCTGCCCCCACCCCCTCACCTCCTTTGCCTCCTCCTCTGGGCTCCTGACTCTTTCTTTAGCCTTTCTACTGCTACTTCTAGGCTCCTTCTTACAGCTGTCTTTCTGCCACACCCCTGATCTTCTGGTAGGAAAGATCTACACCTAGCCTTCTCGGACAATTGCGAAAAATCTCGGAGGGCCCGTGTGAAAGTTGCACACGTTAAAGATCCCTAGGTGGTCTAAATTTAAAATCGATGAGAGTAGGCTTCGGTCGCCACCCTGGCAAAATTCGAAATTTCCTACCAACTGAAAAAGTTAAATGTGTCTCGCGCGCTCATATAACCTTATGTAGTTGCGAGCGCCGTAAAACACTTACTAAAAAAAAAGCTACAGATAGAGAGCTATAGACAGAGAAGAAAAGGTTGACTTACCCGTATGGTGGTCCTGTGTAATAGGGGCCGCATGGACGACCGTTTCTTGTCTTTTTGCAAAAATCTGTGGAAAGTGCAAAACATTACATTAACAGCTATTAATATTACTAAGTTATTATTATCATTATCATCATCATTATTGTATTATCATTAATCATCATCATCATGACCATCATTAGTGTATAATTAAGAGCGTACACAAGATCAGTCTCAATGTGTGTCTGGTGGTAAGATAAAGTAGGCAACAAATCTACTTTGGAATAAGCTCACGTGGTGGGAGTTGGTAAAAAGATGCTCAATATCCTGACTAGTGTCCACATGAAGTCATCATTATCATCAACTACAACATCATCACCATCATCACCACTATCACCATCATCATCATCATCATCATCACCACCACCACCACCACCACAACCACCACTCACCGTCCAACCCCCCGCTCCTGTGTATATAGGCCAAAAAGTGGGTAAATTTTCGTCCCTAATAAGGGCACATATGAGTAGCGGTACTTAAAAAACCAAATTGCCTGA